GTAGGAGGGTCTGCACTGCCATCCAGGGGTCCAGCAGTGCTCACTGGATGGCAGGGCAGGGTGATGAAGGAGCTCTGCTGTGGGGTGCTCCTTCCTCCAGGGTATCCTCCTCCTTGGGGTCTTTTCTTCATTACCAGAAAGGGAGGAGGTGGAGGGAGGAAAGTCACAGTCCACGAGAGCCAAGAGTGAATTTATTTCAGCTGGCCCCAGTCATCCTTGTGGCACTCATGGTCCAGTGGGGCAGTACTAATTGCTCTATTGACAGTGGGGGTTTAAATTAGATTTAAGAAAGCCTTTCAAGCAGTGGGGATTCTGTCTCTGCTGATAAGGTTTTCTGATAGCACGTATGAAGGAGATGATAAAGTCCCTCTTTTCTCTCTTCCTCGTAGGCAGCAAAGAGGAGTTTAGTGCTGACAGGGCACTGTAAGGCCCGAAGGCTTTAGGACTGTTAGCAAGTGTCTGATATTAAGTGACAACTATTTTTTCTTCTCCTTCGCTCGCCTTGCTGCCAGGGATGATCTGAAAGGAGGAGACAGAACTCAGTGCTGTCGGGGGCCCAAGCAGAGCTGCCCACACATGGTGCAACACCTGGGAACCTGGAAAACTTTGGTGCTTCACTGCTCATAGCAGCACCACACCCTGTCCCTGGGGAGGGATGGCATGCCACAGGAGGCACCCTGGATCCCCAGGACTGGGAGAAGCTGTGTGGGCATCTCTGGCCTAGGCTGAGGAGTTGAGAGTGACTTTGGTAAGGGTGTTGTTTCTCCTTCAGTAACGCTGGGGCCCAGGAGGTGCCTGCTGAGAGTGCAGAGGCACTGTGATGCCTACAGCTGGCATCTGCTCTACAGGCACATTACCACACCTCAGCAAGAGGCAGACTGTGACCTGGCCTGCAGGACAGGTGTGCTGCAGTGCCTGCAGTCAGCATCTGCACTCCAGGTGTTGGGTACCACTCACAGCCAGCCCCTGTGGTGCAGGTGTGCAGTACCACCTACACTCGGCAGCTGCAGTACAGGTGGTACCTGAGCACCTGCTGCTGGTGTCTGCAGTACAGGGGAACTGTAGCAGCTACAGCCTGTGTCTGCAGCACAGGTGTCTGTGCACAGCCCAGGTGTGCAGCACAGGTGTCCATGCACAGCCTGTGTCTGCAGCCCAGGTGTCCATCCACAGCCCAGGTGTGCAGCCCAGGTGTCCCTGCACAGCCCAGGTCTGCAGCCCAGGTGTCCATGCACTGCCCAGATGTGCAGCACAGGTGTCCATGCACAGCCCAGGTGTGCAGCAGAGGTTCTAGCACAGCATCGACAGTCACTGTGGGCAGTGCAGTCACACAGCGGTGCCTGCCTGCAGGACAGGTGCTGCAAAGCTCCTTTGGAAGCTTTGCTGGAGGGGGAGGAAATGACTAAACAGAGTTTGTTTCCCACCAGTTCACCACTTCAGAGCCAGACCTCATAACAGCTCCTGGTGGTGAGTTGTCTGATGGAAGACTTTGTCATGGAAACACTAGGTTTTGAAACTACCACTTTTCTTCTGAGGTAGCCACACACTTCTAGAATGAGGGTTTTATTTATTTATCATTGCTGAGAGCAGTCTGTGGAAGGTGAGAGTTGTGGTGGGTGACTGGGGTGCAGCCCACATCCCTCACCAGCCCTGCCCTGGAGCTGCTGTTTCCAGGTGCCAGTTGGTACTCCATTGTAAAGCTTTGGAGATTATACTAAGGGAGAGCTGGAAGGGATCCATCCCCTTGCCTACTCAAAAGAGGACACTGGGGCTGTTCAGCAGAAAGCGCTTTTTGCCTGGATTCACTGGAATCCCTTGCCTGGAATCCCTTTCACTCCTGCTGTACCCCCCCCCCGGGACTGTCCTCACCCCATCACACCACAACAGCTAATGCCACATTGCTGTGCCCCTCCAGTCCTGATCCAGCTCAGGGAACACAGGCCTGGAAACCTTTGGTTTCGACTGAGAGCTGCTGGAGGGGACCTTATCCATGTGTGTGTTGAGTTGCCTTCTGCTAAGAGTGACAATGACTGATGCCCTCACTATCCTTGGTATCGAGGACAAGGCAGGGAAAGATCAACGCTTTGCTCTCTCCCCAAGCAGGAGGCTGGAGACAGGGAGGACGGCTCCAGAGCTGCTGGTCCACCACTTCATATGTTGCCTCTCCCCCTTTCTTCCTCCCCAGGCTCCTCTTTCCTCTCTACCTCCAAGAAATTATTCATTACTGGGCAAAATTTACCTTTTGCACAGAAGATTGAGTTTCACACTGCGGGCTTTGCTGTGTAATAAATGTGGTTCCCCTCCATCACCTATAAACTGCTCCCTGCTGCCATGGGGACATAGCTCAGGACTCTGCACACCTGGTCAGCTGCTGCTCACTGGCCTGTGCACCCGAATGCCAGGGTGCTGGCTTTTACTAGAGAAACAGATAAGCAAGCAAATACAGCAACAGAAATTTGCATTGGAAACATCTGCAGAAATTGCAAAGGCTTTGTAATGTGCTTGGGGAAAAAAAATATCAACATGGCTTTGGGCAAAACAGTCAAACAAAGCAAATACTGCATGGAAAATTACAATTCAAGTGAGAAGAAGTTGGTTTTCTGGCTAGATTTTTGTCCTAAAATAGCTTCTCTCCTCCCTTGTCACAGGGCTAATCTCTAAGAAGGAATGAGGTTTTCCAGGGTGAAAGCAGCCAAATGGTGGATTCTCTGTGCTGTCACTGGAAGCCTCTGCCTGTGTCCTGGCCATGCCACAGAGTCCTCAGGGATCTTATCTGGGTTCCTCTGCTCTCTCTTACTCCACCTGTATCCCTTGAGACCATCAGTGCTTTGGGACAAGAACCATTCCTTGCTACACAACTCTGTTTTGATGCTGGCCTAGGTACATGGGCAGGAGCAGCAGTAATTATTTTAAGAGCTGATGAGACGAGGGAGGAGCAGCAGGGGGTGGGCAGCAGGTGGCTTTGTTCCTTGGCAGGGCTGGGTGATGCTGCTGATGATATTTGCACTGAGCCAAGCTGAAGGCTGCATCAAGGAGATCTCACACTTTCCAAAGAGCAGGCTGGTTGCTGGGGGGTCCTGTCCCACCTCCTGTCATTGCCATTGTCCCCAGAAATGGGGTGGCTGCACTAGCTGGAGATATCTGGGCTGTGGTGAAGGGAGGCCATGGCCCCTGGTTCCTTGCCTGCTGCAAGTCCTGGTGCCACCCATCAGCTCCCGGGGCTGTAGAAAAGGAATATTCAGTGGAAGGTAAATTTGAGTGTAAATAGGGGGAGTTGGTTCCTGGGTTGCAGGTGGTTTCCCAGCTGCTCAGGGTCCCACATGCCAGCAGTGCCCCAAGATGTGGCATTGCCACCTGCCTCAGGTTCCAGCTGTCACCCACTCCCTGAGGTGCCTCTTGTGATGGCAGCTGGAGCACAGGTGGGGTGGCAGTCAGGGAGCCATGCTGTGGGCACAGAGGGGACACATGGAAAAGGCAGTGGAGAGCAGGCATGAGAGAAGCAGGGGGGAAGAAGAAGAGTGAATGATAAGGAGACTGTAATTAGCACTTGGCGCTCCTCGCCTAGAGCTTTCAGAGGAAGGTCACCTTCATTATCTCTGTTTCACAGATGGGGAAACTGAGGCACGGGGAAGGCAGTTAGAGTGATTTGCTCAAGGTGACCTGTGAGGGCTGTCAGCAGGGTCTGGGTCTTGCCTGTCCATGCTCTGCAGCACCAGCACGCTGGGAATGGCTCTTGCTGCCAGCCCTTCAAGTCCAAACCCAGCACCGAAAGATCAGTATAAAAGGACATGGATCCCTTCTCTATCCATCTCCAGGCTCATCCTCTTCAGACCCACTGTCTCCCCCAGCATCCCTGCCCCTAAGAAACATTTGAGATCAGGCCGGTTCAGCTGCACCCCAAAATCTGCTTGTGCAATCCCACCCAGCTGCTCTTGCCTTCCCTCCAGCCCTGCAAAGGCTCCCTGTGAGCCCGAGGCCATCTGGGCTCCTGCAACAGTCCTGTTGGGTAATGGAATATGTTTTGCTGGATATTTTTCTCTCGGCAATGGAGCTCCCCCTTTATTTAGGTTAAAATAGATGCCATCTGGCTAATGAGCCCATACTCATGTTCTAGATTAAAAGGCAATCCTGTGCACGGCACTGGAGATTAGAGAGGCTTAAATGGTTTTGAAGGTGCAATTTGCTTTTCATGCATGGTGCAATTTACTTCCTGGTGGGTGGGCCTGCATCCCCATGGCTGTCCCCAGCAGCTCCATCCTGGCTCTGGTCTCCTCTACCAGCCCTGGCTGCAAGAAAATGAGAGCTTGGGCATCTCCAGCCTGGCAGGGCTGTGCAGGGTATCCTTGTAGCTGTTGCTGCCATTTGCCCACTCCTGGAGGGGCTTTTTGGTGCAGGCAGGATGTCTTCATCACCTGCTTTCTTAGCTGTCACCCTCTCCACACCTCCCTGCACCACAGCATCCCCTGGGACAAGGCACAGCTCACCAGGACAGAGTAGCCTCTGCCCCTCTCCCAGCCCAGAGAAATGGGGGACAACTGTGGCCCATTAAGATATTGATGGCAGATGGCTGAGGCTGAGGTCTCTGCTGTGATCAACATCTTGCACATCCTGCAGCATCAACTGTGAACTACCTGGGTGTGCTCCCATCTCCTCAAAACCCCTCTGCAACCCATTTGCAGGTAGCCTTGGCTCCTGGGATGATGCTGCATCTGCCAAGAGAGCCCCACCAGGGACTGGATTTCCTAAGGAAAATGTTGAAAATGAGACAGGGAAGATGGAGCATTTGTGCAAGGCATGTCATCACCTCCAGGCACCTCCCACGGAAAGTGCCACAGGCTATGGAGTGATGAAGCGTGCCCCAGCAAAATGCCTCATTTTGCAGTGAATTTCCCCTTGGCTGCAATGGAGCTGGTTTTACAGTCATCTCCTTGCAGTCCCATCACTGGGGGCTCTCAGCCCTGGGGGCAAACCCTGACTGCTCCTGCCTGTGTTTGCTTCCACAGATGGCTAACCCTGTGCCGTCAGCCTGCTGCGTGGTGCTCGCCGCGGTGGTGGTGGTGTACGCCCAGAGGCACAGCCAGCTGGGTGAGTCCTTCACGCCTCCCTCCCAGGCCCTGGGGGTCCTGAGAAATGGGAATCCTGCTCCTTCAGCCCCTCTCTCCAGGGGGAATCTGGGTGCACCCTCCATGTGTGCCTGATATTATTTATCAGGCATGTTATCACTTCTCTCCATGACAAGTGTCCCCTCCAGCCCATCACTGTGGGGTTTGGGCATCCTTCATCTCCCTCTGCTGATGCCCCTTGCCCTGCCCACGGCTCTCTGTGTCCCTGCTGCTCTGGACTCCTTTGACCACTCTTTTGTAAGTGCTGCCCCATGCAGCCTGCCCATGAAGGAGTCAGGAGTTGGGAGGAAGCATCAGCCTGACAGCTCCAAACTCTGATCACCCCTGACAGCTCCATGATGCCTGGACCCACAAAAATGATGGATGATGCTTCATCCTGCTCTCACCTCCTTGGAGTGACTTAATCCCCACTGCCACCACACATCTGTGCCCACCCCTAGCTCACCTCTCTCCAGGTTGGCAGAGGATTCAGGGCTTATTTTAGTGGTGGCTTTAGAGGGATCACCCTTTAGAGTCACTGGTGGCATTGGGAGCTGGAGGAGCCTCACATGATCAGGGGTCTAGGCAGGAGCAGGAGGATTATGAAGGATGGTTGGGTTCTGGTGTAGAGTCCAGCTCTCCAAAAATAGGAAAAAATGGGCAATCTCCAGAATTCCCTGCTTTTTCTGGCAGCCTGTCTGTAGTACCTTTTAGAAGATCTTGGAGGGGAATTTTGCTCATTAACTCCAGTAAAGACATCTATGCATCCTTGGGCTCTGTGAAATTGAGGAATCCAGCCAGAGTGCCCACTGAGCTGCCTTAAATCCAGTTGGGTGGGTTTACATTGCCACAAGCTTCCTTGGACACAAAGCAGCCAGGGTTTGGCAGCACATCTGCATTGCATGGGGACAGCCACTCTCTGGACACAGAAGGATCTCGCTGGCTGGTGTTCCAGGAAGGTCCCCAACCCCTTCCCAGGGTGTCTGCTCAAAGCATTTGGGTGCTGGGCTGTATGTGATGGTGGTGTGATGCTTCCTGCAGAGAAGCAAAGCTGCTCTCTCCTGCTGTGCTTGCAGGATCACTGCCTGGGGAGCTTTAAAGGACCTGGCAATAGGACAGCAGAGCATCCTTTGGATGCTTTGAATACTAACCCAGACCTGCTGCACAGGGAGGTGCACAAAACACAGAAGTGCCAGGTACTTCAGGGTTGCACACACTTGAATTGTGTTGTCTAGAGAAGAACAAATGCTGCTGCTCACCAGTGAGCAGGACCAGACGTTTTGCCACTGACAGCTGGTGCAGAGCTGCAGTGACTGTCACCTTCTGCTCTGTGATACAGCAGGATTCAGGGGGTCAGCAGCATAGCCTCCCATGTCCTCGTGTCCCTCCTGTTTCCCTTGCCTGCCTGTGTCTGGGAGGGAGGTTTCTGGGGCACCAGCTGAAAACTGAAGCTGGAGAGGCCTGTGTGCATCAAAAACTGCCTGAATGGAGTGTGAGAAGTGTGGCAGGGCTCTTCCCATCTGTAGCAGCTTCACTGGGGGACAAAAAAAGAGTACAGAGTCAGAAAATTACTTATGAGACAGTAGGACACCTTCAGGACTGTCCTCAATCTGTCCCTCCCGGGCACCTCTCTGAAATTCCGAGGTAGGCTCTGGGCAGGAGCTTTGGAGCAGCAGATCTCCCTCCCACCCCACCGTGCCCGGCTCAGAGAGGCTGCACACAGGCAGGTCAACACCAGAGACCCAAAGCTTGTGCCCTGTGCCTCCCAGCCAGAGCCCATCCCCTGCCCTGCTGCAGCCTCTCCTCACCAGCCAAGCCCAGAGCTCATCCCCCGCCAGCCGGGCACTGGGGCTGGAAGTGCACAGCAGGAATGGGGCTGGAAGTGCACAGCAGGAATGGGGCGGGAGGATGGATTAATCCCACTGGTGGCAGGGACCCGGTGGAGTGGTGGGGAGATGCTGGCACAGAGTCCATTTATCATGCACTTGAGGCACGTTCGACTTTAATAGCTCATGAAGCACTCTAAGAGATGCATTAGCACTGAATACTTGAGTGAGGAGGATGTGACAAGCTGTTAAGTGAGCATGAGCACGGCGGAGGGAGCCTGGCCACCCTCTCCTGGCTCTCCTATGCACCAGGGTGATTACTGGAGCGTCCTGCAAAGTGCCACATGAATTAATAAAAGCAGCATCAGGCTTGGTGAAGGTGAGGCTGTTCATGTATTAACCCCTCTGCTGCTCACCTTTAGTCCTTCTCCTTGGAGCTGGCAGAGCATCTGTCTGGGATGCAGAAGCCTGGGATGATCCCCACTGTTGGGGGAAGGGAGTGGAGGGGCTCAGAGGTCAGTGGGTTTCTGTGACCTTTGGAGTGACAGAGCTCCCTTGCTTTGCATGCCTGGCAGGCTGCTCAGGTTTCACGTGTATGACACAGCTGGGGACTGAAGTTCCCAGGGGGTGGGAGACCAGAGACATCCAGCAGGGCAGCTCCAGGGGCATGCTCGGAGGCTGGCACTAATGTTCTGGCTCTAGCAGTGGGTTTGGGGTGTCCTGCTGCAGGGAAAGGCAGAGGGGCTATGGAAGAGAGTGTCCAGGACTGTCATCCCCAGTGTATGAATAAACAGCTTTAGATGGGGCTGCCAGATTGGGCCAAGCTGCCCGCAGAGATGGGCATTGCCCTGGACAGTCACAGGGCTGTCCCCATCTGCACAAATCCAGCTGGCATGGAGGGATGGATGTGATGGTGTTCACAGGGGTCCCAGGACGAGGGAAGAGACATGAATCTTGACTCCGCGTTTCAGAAGGCTGATTTATTATTTTATGATATATATTACATTAAAAGAAAATGATATATTATAACAAACACTAAAAGAATAGAAGAAAGGATTCCATCAGAAGGCTAGCAAGGAATGAAAAGTAATGATAATAAAATCTTGTGACTGCTCACAGCCTCAACACAGGTGGCTGTCATTGGTCATCAAGTAAAAACAATTTCACATGCTGGGTAGACAGTCCTCCAGATCACATTCCAAAGCAGCAAAACATGGAGAAACTGAAGCTTCTCAGCTTCTCAGGAGAAAAGATCCTGGCAAAAGGATTTTTCATAAAATATATCTGCAACAGATGGATAGGAGCTGCAGGAAGAATGGGAGAGCACACAGGAGGCAGAACAGTCAGAAGACCTGGAGAGAAGGGGAGGGCCTTGGGCCCGCTGTAAAGAATCACAGAATGGTTTTGGTTGGAAGGGATCTTAAAGATCATCAAGCTCCAGTCCCACAGCCATGGACAGCAGCACCTTCACTAGACCAGTCTGCATAAAGCCCCATCCAGTCTGGCCATGAGCACTTCCAGGGATGGGATATCCACTGCTTCTCTGGGCAGCTGTGCCAGTGCCTCACCATCTTCACAGCGAAGGATTTATTCCTGATATCTAATCTAAACCTACTCTTTTTCAGTTTAAAGCCATTACCCCTTGTCCTGTCACTGCACATCCTTGTGAGAAGTCCATCCTTAGGTCTCTTGTAGCCCCTGTATGTACTGGACAGTCATCCCAGAGCCTTCTCTTCTCCAGGCTGAAAAACACCAAGTATTTCAGCCTTTCGTCATAAAAGAGATATTCTAGCCCTCTAATCAACTTCCCATTATTTTGGATAGCTCAGTTTTCCTTCCTGTGCTCTGTTCTCCAGGCAGTGGCTGCTGCCAATTTATTTCAGAATGGAGGAAGGTGATGGGGGAAGCTGAGCAGAGCACGGATGCGATTGCTGTCTGCTGTGACACTCACGCCTTTGGTTGTCCAAGGCCTCCACTCTGTGAGAGCAGAGCTGGTGGGGGTCCCTGCAGTGCAGTGACCTCCTTCCTAGCTGGGTCTGGGTTCCTTCAAAGGTCTGGGAGAGGTCACAGCACAAGCTTTGGGGTTTAACCCAAGCTCTTATGTGGGAAGTGTGTGAGTGGCAGAGATGCCTCACCACATGTCAGGCTACAAAATGGGTACATGCATGGGTGATTTCAGCTTCTTGTACTGAGTGCTGTGACTGCCTGTTGCTGGATTTACCTGTTCTTATTAAACTCAATGCTTAAGGCAGTCCTGGGAAGAGGGAGCTCTGCTGTGACCAAGGTGTCTGCCCCATCCATCAGCCCTGCCAGAGTTATGTCCACATCTGTCCCAGATTGAGATTTCTTTGCTTTTAAAAGAGGAGTAATTCTGCTTTATTGATCCTCACCTTGCTGAATTAACTCATGTTTAAACAATAATTATGTTTTCACCCAGGAGAGGAGACAAAGAGATAAAAGGCTCTGGAAATGAATGCACTTCAGATGTCACATGCTGGAGTTAATTTATTGATGGGTGAAGAAATTCCCATCTCCTCTCTTCCTCACCAGCTACAAGCAATTAGCCCCCATCATTCCTCAGCCGAGGAAAAGAGAGATTTTGTTTCATTGCTCTCCCTTTTTTCTTGCTCTCTTAAGCCCTGACTAATCTTTTGCAGTCGGTTCTGCTGCAAAGCCTCCTGGGGGCTCCAGTTTGCACATACCTTGTTAGAAATGCTGCTGCAATGACAAAGCCTGGACCAGTAAATAGCCTTCAAAATGCACAGCAAAGCCAGGCAAATTGGCTTTTCAAAGAGGAACCAGCTGTAGATAGGAAAACCTCTTTCCCCTTCTAGAATTGCCCAGCCTTGTCTGTGTTGCATTTTCTGTGACCAGCTCTTTCTGAACTCTGCTTCCTCCACGTAAGTCAGCCCATGCCATGGAGGTGCCATCTGCCTGGCATGCTTAAACCAGACACTTTGAATTTGGAGGTGTTCTCTGGATTTGCTATGTAGGAGATGGTTTGTACATTCACACCAGGCTGTGTGGATTCTTTGTAGACATCTGTGTAGGCTTTGGTTGCTGTGCAAATGCAGTTGAGTTGAGGTGACTGGATTCAAGAGGTGTGATGGGGTGGCCTTGTGCATGCATCCTAAGATGGCTCTGCAGGACTGCTATC